TGTAATGATTTTTACTAAATAATTTTTTCTTCCATGTATTGAGTTTAGAATCTAAACCACAACGCCATTTGTTAACTGTTTCGTTCTTGTCCAGGAATTGTTGAAAAGCTATTTTAACTGCATCTTGTAAGGACCAGGTGGTTTGCTCCTCACGACTTTCCTTTACAGGATGCGTGTTACTTGGAGGTTTGTTGTACCAAGCACTAAAATGATCCTGTAAATTTATTGTATTTTTAATCTTACCTTTTTCAAATAATTCATATAAATGAAAATTTTTAAATTCATTGTCGAATGGTCCCCAGGTAATTTTTTTATTTTCATCACGAAATATAATTGAACATAGTTCCTTGATTTTCTTGAATAACAATGAATCTTGATTTGGTAAGTAGAACATTTCAATTAATACTAATGTTGATTCTTGAATTGAATGAATAAATTGAATTTGTACAAGAGCACCTTGTGCTACCTTGTTTATTACTTGTGATTCTGTGTCGATTGTATATATATGTGTTGTTTTTGCCATCATTATTAATTCTTCTACTGTTTCGATTGATGAATAATGGTGAAGATGAATAATTGTAAAATTTGATGGTGATTGAAAAGGCGGATATTCTGCCCGTAGTTCTTCGTTTTTTTCCATTCGACGAGTAGTTTTCATCCAATTCTTTTGTTGTTGTGGATTTAAATCATAGAAGTATGGTGGTGGATTAGATGAATTTCTTGTTAAGGCAGACATAATAAATCACTATAATAAATGTGTGTTTGTTTTGTATATCGAAAAGATCAAATGATGTATAACTAAAATGAAAATACGTAATTTATAATTCAATGTCGTAATAAAATATTTATTCATTAAGGTCATTGTCCGTAAGGTCAATTTTTCTTTCCTTTGTATATATAGATATTCGATTTTTTATCCATATATAAAATTTTTCTTTCCTTCGTATATAAGGACAGTTCCATTGTTATCCATATATAAAATTTTTTCTTTCCTTTTGATGTGGAATATATGTATATCATGTTAATGTTCAGATAATAGTAAAGTCGTCCAACTGGAACACGTGCATTATTGTTCGCACTGTACAGTATGGCCAGTACTATAAAAGTGCTTCAATTATAATGCATTGTGATTGGTGGATGAGTCATCGCGTATAATATATTGATCCGATGACTAATATGCATGAAATAAAGTCAATTTAAATGAATTTTTGAGTTTGACAGCCCCTCCTTGTCAGTGAGAAGGTGAAATTCTGTCTCCCCGGCATGGACTGCTGAATCAAATTCAATCATTTTTAATTGATTTAACTAATAATTTTGTAATATATACGTGCATATATATTTAAAAAATGTTTTTTTTTTTTTTTTAAATTAAATTTTTTAATATATGCGTATATGTATGTATATATAAATTTTTCTTTTATCGATGCACATACTTTACACGTTATACTATCATATCCCACATCTCTCCCTTTTGGGATGTGTGTTATTAAATTAAATTCCATCGTTCCACCAAAGGAACGATAACATCCATTGTTACTTGTCTTGTTAATGTTAATTTTTTTACATGTTGAACAATGAATGTTTTATGTCCTAGTTGTTTAATAATTTTAAATGGACCTTCATATCGTATGTCAAATTTATTTCTAACATTTCTTGTTTTGATTAAAACTAAATCATTAACTTTTAATAATAAATCTTGTCTATGTAAATCATATCGAGCTTTATATTGTTGTTGATTTTTGATAATATTGTTTCGCGCTTCATTAACTAATTTTTCAAGATATGTTCTAATTTTTCGACTATGCTCTGGATCTTGTGTGAGCGAAATAATTTCATGTTGTTGATCGAATGGAAGAGTGGCTTGTCGTCCATGCATCATTTCAAAAGGTGTTTGTTTTGTTGTTGCATGTATTGACGTATTATAATTAAATGTAACAAATTGTAAGACTTCATCCCAATTTGTACATCGTTCGTTGCATAATGCAGCAATTTTTCCATCCATTGTCGCATTAAATCGTTCGATTTGTCCGTTGGTTTGGGGATGATATACTGTGGAATATAAATGAGTAACTCCAAGGCTTTCAAATAATTTGTTCGTAACTTGAGAAGTAAAATGTGTACCATTATCAGTTAAAATGCATGTTGGAGTACCATATTTTAATATAACATCATTTGTAAGAAATTTCACTGCTGTTGTTGCTGAACAATCTCGAACGGCTTTTGTAATAACAAATTTTGATAATACATCTGTAAGAGATATAATATATCTATTTCCGTGCTTTGATGTTGGAGTTATTGGGCCATGAAAATCCATACTTAATAATTTCCATATTCCTTCAGGTGGTGGTATTGGTTTTAATTTTCCTGGTAATTTTTGACGACGATAATTATTTTGTGCACATGGTAAACATGAATTAATATGATTTCTAATATCAGCTATCATTGTTGGCCAGTAATAACGTTCTTGAATTTTTCTTGTTGTTTTGTCACGTCCAAAGTGAGCTCCATTAGCAGGTGTATCATGATAAATTTTTAATATATCACCACGTATTCGTCCTGCTGGAACATATGGCACAGATGGAAGTGGTAGTTGTTGTTTTCTAAATAATATTCCATCTTCGATAGAATAATGTTTTTTATTCTTGATATTCTTTTTTATTTCTTGAGTTGTTTTATCTTCTTCTTGAAGTTTTCTTAAATCATCCATATCAAATGGGATGATCTTGTTTGGATTTTCATCTGATCGTTTGATTATCAGTTCTTCATCAATCGCTACTTTCCCTTGTGGGATGAGCTCATTCATTTTTTCATCTGTTGGTTTAATAGATGGTGTTGCCATTGCTTGTTGTTGTAACTTGGCTTGAGCTCTAGTAACTGCTGTTGTTATTTTTAATGGAATTAAATTTTTATTTAATGATGAAAATGATAAATCTGTTTGTGTTGATGCAGATTCATATTGAGTTCGTTCTTCAATATCTTCTTCAGCTATTTCGACTGGTGATCTTGAAAGATAATCTGCCATATTGTTTTTCTTGCCTTGTATGTGTTTCACCTTAAATCGATATTCAGCTAATTTTAATCGCCATCGTTCACATCTTTTATTTAATTGTTCTTTGTTTGTAAAATGAACTAACGGTTCATGATCAGTTTCTAATATAAATTCATGGCCACGAAGATATTTGTCCCATTTGTCTATTGCTTGTACTATTGCATAACATTCTTGTTCGATTGTTGGCCAATTAGTTTGTGTTTTTGTTAATTTCTTTGACATGTATGCTAATGGTCGATCACCATTGGGAGTAATTTGTAATAAAACAGCGCCAATTCCATCTCCAGAAGCATCAGTTTGTAATTTAAATGGTAATGCATCATCAGGTAAATCAAGAATAAGATCGGTTGTTAATATTTTCTTGAGTTGATGGAATGCCGTTCTCGCTTCAGCAGATAATTCAAATTTTAATTTTTTATTGTTCTTTTGTTGTTGTAATGTTGCTGGAGAGTATTTATGTAATGGTGCAGCGATGGTGGAGAATTTTGGAATAAATTTTCTGTAATATTCTGCTGCCTTGACGAATCTAAATGCTTCTTCAGCTGATGTTGGTTCTCGTGTATCAGTCAATCCACGGATGTTGTCTGGATCTGGTTTAATGGTACCAGCTTTAATTACATGTCCAAGAAATAATATTTCTGTCCTTGCTACTTCACATTTATCAACATTTAATTTGAAATTTGCTTCTTGTAATAGAGAACAGACTTCTTCAATATGTTTTAAATGTTCACTAAAATTTTGTGAGTAAATAATAATATCGTCGATATAGGCGAGAACATGTTTCCACCTATTTGGACCTAATATTTGATTAACAATACGTTGAAATGTTGGTGGTCCATTAGTAAGTCCTTGAGGTAATACTTTAAATTGAAAATGTCCATCTCGAGTTGAAAATGCTGTTTTTGGTCGATCTGATTTGTCTAATGGTACTTGAAAATAACCAGCTTTGAAATCAAATTTTGTGAAATATGCTGCTTTTGTTAACTGGTCATAAATATCATCAATTCTTGGTAGAGGAAAAGCATCTTTCGTTGTAATTTGATTCAGACGACGATAATCGACACAAAATCTTGT